ACGTCCAGAACAAGTTTGAGACATTACCGGACAAAATGCATGCATTGTAAATTTGTAGTAAAAAGGAGAAGTTAAAAACATTACGAGTTACTTGGTATAACTAACTGTCCACCAACGTAACCAGATCTCATACAGTCAGTGGTGGACAGTTAGTCACAACTCGTAATGTTTTGTCCTTCTCCCACTCTGGCATTGAAATCTCCAAGTAGAACAAATTTATCTGTGCACGGAATTGAGTTGAGTACTCCTTGCAGAGAGTCGTAAAACGCGTCTTTTTCACAGCGCTTACTGTTGAATGTTGGCGCATTAGCTGTAACCAGCGACGTCCACTCAACCTCTCCACTCGCCAGATCAAACTTCAAGCGTATGGACAGCAACCGAGCGAACACGGCGACGAGTTGACAACCTCCTTCGCGCCAGGCTCGAAGCGCATTTCCCCTCAGCACAAACGCAACGCCCTCACCTCACCGTCTGGGCGCTCCTTCCCCAGGCAAAGGCCGACCCGAGGCAATGACCGGGGCGTCACAGAGCAAGTATGAACAAGCGAGCAGGGACTGCACATCAAGTGCAGTCCATGAAATAATAATTATTATCAAGCCATGACATTCTGGGCCTGCCTCAGCCACGATCTCCAGCAACACAACCCTGAAGAATAGTCAACGACAAACAGCCGGAACGAACAATATGACCAAAAATTGCAATTTCCTTTTAGGAACAGAAACAATAAGTGGGACTTGTTTGTGAATACTATTTATTTCCTCTCTAACAGACACATTGGTCCGGTGATCAGTGAACGGAATCCTGAGAAGGCGTCCATAGCTTCTCATTTCGAAAGCCTCGATCTTTTTCACAATTTCAGCAGTTAAGGTCCAAGACTGGCAAGCATAAAGGAATATGGATAAAACAATAGCATTGAGTAGACGTAATTTCGAGCCGATACTGATGTTTCTATCCCTCCAGATTGTTACTAGTCGTGCAACAGCAGCCGAGGCTGCTGCGATCCGACTCCTCACTTCTTTGATTGAACGCTGATCATCAGTAATCGTGCTACCCAGATATTTAAACTCGCCAACCTGCTCGAGCTGCTTCCCGTCGATGGCTATGCTTGCAGACAGACCTTTGCTTGCTCCCGTTACCAGCAGCTTACTCTTCTCAGTGCTGATTTCCATGCCGTATGATTTTGATGTGCTGGCCAGCCGGCCAGTAAGGCTGTGTTTACATGAGAAATTTCAATCCGGGTCGAGTTCAGCCCGGGTTGAAAGTCTGTACGATAGACAAAAGAGGTGAGCGTTTACATGAAAACAGTTGACCCGGGTCAAATACTGATATGCCGCCAAAAGTCCACTTCTAGAGTCCTGTATGGTCACGTGAATCCATTCGCGCGAAATTTGCATGTGCAGTGCTGTTCAAACCTGGCGCGAGATACGCACAGAAGTACGTTTGTACGATTTTCTTGACCCGGGTCAAGCGCAATGCGTCATGTAAACGCGCCATTCATTTTGTGTGCATGGCGGGTTGAAATCTGACCCGGGTCGAACTCACCCTGGGTTGAAACGCCTCATGTAAACACAGCCTAAGGTCTTGTAGTTCTTCCTCGCTACCAGCCACCAGATCAATGTCATCTGCAAATCGCAGGTCTGTTATAATGCGTCCACCAATGCTAATGGAACCCGCGAATCCCTCTAATGACCTAGATACCAGTTCTTCCAAGAAAATGTTGAATGGAGAGGGTGATAGAATGCGACCTTGCCTAACGCCAACGGTGGCATGGAACCAACTGCTAACCGTTGTTCCTACTCTTACAGCATTCTCGGACTGCTGGTACAGGGACTCGATCAGTGTGATGATAGTCGGGCTAAGCCCACACTTGCGCATTATCTTCCACAGGGCTGCGTGCCACACTCTGTCAAATGCCTTGCGAAAATCGATGACATTGTTATAGGTGGGTCTCTGATGGTCACCATAACGCTCTGCCAGTGTACGAAGAGCAGCGGCATCCATTTCCAAGCGTTCCAGATATTGTACACTTTGATAAAAAAAATTATCGTCGGCAACAATTCCACTCGCTGCAGCCGTCCGAACGTGGCCCTCACCCTCAACCAGAGAACGGACGCTCCAAGAGCCAATGCTGAATACTCCATGCTGTCGTTTTCTTTGTGCTGTAGATGTCCCCACTCGCGGGCTCGCAACGCCTCGCGAAGGCATCTGAGAACGGGACGACGACAAGAGTGTCAGCATCGAAAATCGTCGACCAAGTCCACCACCGATATTCCCGCCTCAGTATGTTTTCCTGGACGGCTGGGGAGGCCCCAGGCCACCCAGGCCTGTCTCACGATGTCCAGAAACAGTCAGGAGAGGAAGACTTACAGAGAGCAAAAAAACCTCAAACTGTCCCCACCCAAAGCAAGGACTTACCACACACACACACAGACACACACACACCCAGCTGGATGGCAACTTGGATGGTGTCCAGCCATACCGTAGGCACGGACTCTAGGAT